AGTGGTAATTTGAGCAGAGGAATTATTAAAGGTGGGCTATCGTTGGCCTTATTGGCCCATGTTCAGACTTGGGAAAGGATTCAAGAATTGTGTTTGTAAAAATGCGGGTTCCAAGAGAAGGGATTCTGCTAGGTGCATCACTAATGGGGTATTCATGTGCTAGAAGATTTATGGAATTGATTATATTCGGGACCAAGTCAGAGCGGGTGGCTCTCAGTAACGGTTCTGATGGGTTCAAAAAGGATAAAATGTGATGCCTAATGATTTCAAGCCTGTAGATACGGTTTAGAATGGAGCTTGATAGCAGCCTATGAGAAGAGGCACAGAGTGTTCTATGATGTTTTGACTTGCAGTGTAGAACTTGAGAGGAAAATGAGAAGAGATTTCGGATTCGTAATAGGATTAGCAGAATGGTCATGTTAGTTGAGGGTGCGAATATGCACGCAAGGAAGGTATGAATTGGTTCGTGGGATTTGAGACAGCATGGTCTCGTGATTCAGGGTCACTCGGGATGAGTGCGGTTGGAGTATGATATGTGACGGATGGAGTTAGTATTATCTCTAAGGCAATCAAGGATAAGTTGGGAGAAGGTAGATCGATTGGCCATAGTTGAATTGGCATATTGGTGTTAGCAATCAGTTTCCTCAGTGTGATCGAGTTATGCAAGTGAGTTGCGATGGTGCGTATGAGGCTTGTCAGCTGCCGTAATTGATATTATTCAGAAGCATTCTTATGTTATGGCTTGTTATGTGTAAGCAGATCCCGGAAGGGTTATGGTGGCTTAGACCACTACTTAGAGATTTGCATATTCTAGGATTATGAGAATTCACCTGTGTGATACTATGGATCTCCTGAAGTGAGTTAAGTGAAAAGTTTTTATATGATGAAGTGTTAACCTATTAGTGGTTCCGAAGCTATGATGAAAAATGAGTCCTATCGTATACTGGCATGTTAAGTGCAGTGAGTGGTATGGAATTTGCAGTGAAGATCAAGGTAGTAGCTCGGTGTAGACAAGGACGTCACGAGCTCAGATGAGCAGGAAAGGAGTTTCACTGTTTGAGGTAAGTTGGTTTTGTCATCAGCGTCACCTGAGATCGGTGTCTTGTAAAAAGGGCTTTGCATGCTGGTTAATTATACTTGATCGCTTTTCAACGTTAGAGTGGCCGGTGGTTTGGAGCTACGACCCAGTTATTTGTTATGGTGGGTTGTGGGAGTGTGACCCACAGGAAGATTGTATAAGTGTGGCAGGTAGTCACTGGATTGATTAAAGACTTAAACCAAGTATGAAGGTTGTGATGATATCGTTGATTTGAGAATATATGCCTGGAGGGCACTCAGTTACTGGGTTCTGGACTGTGGATGAGTACTCCGGTTATGGCGGTTGTTCTTGTGCGTTATGGGAAGAGGGAAATTAGTATGGACCTTTGAAAGGCAATTGGCTTAGTCTGATATGATCAGGATCGACTTGAGGTCGGTGGATGGATTTAAATGTGAATATGGGCTTTATGTCAGGCCAGTTGTGTTCATTTCAGTAATGTGCTCCTTATGGAGTAGTCAGGGTGTTATTTCGTTGTCAGATATTTCATGTAGTGATACGTTGCGCCGTGGGAGTTGTGAGACGGCTTGAGAAATTGTTTATGTGTTGAGGATCCGCGTGGAAATGACGTATTATGAGCAAAATGGCTCTTGAGATTCAGATTGTATATCGCACCTCAGTTGTGATTGAGTTTTGTAGCTTATAGCGCTATATGTCCCCTCAGGGATGGTATTATGCACTTAGCGTGCTTGTGACCAAATTCGATATCTTGTTGTAATGAGCAATTTAGCTCGATGTATATCTCCTTATGTGAGTTCTATGTGTGGATCGGGTGGCACGCCGTCATGGGTATGATGTTTGGATCGGGTTGCGCGCCGCAACAGTGTGGTGTTCGGTACAGTTCCTCATATTTGTTTTTATGTGTTCTATTTCCTATTTTCCGAGGAAAATCTCATATTAGCTGTGCACCCGCATTGTATGTATGATTCGCGAGCGGGGTAATTGAAATTCCTTTTCAGAGTTTATTTTCCTTTTTGTGTCACATTCTAATTGGTAGCCTATTGGCACATTGTGGCATCATATGAGACTTTGGTCATGTCGAGATGGCTTATTGCCTGAGCAGTACGTACTGGGTGAGACGAGATTGTTGGATTTAGGATCAGTGCAATCTGATTACGCGAAATAAATTAAGGAGCAAAGACCATTATTTGGTTCAGAATGAGGTGATGGTTATTGTCATGAGTATAGACCCAAATGATTGGTTGGTTCGGCAGTTGATTATGAACTTTTGCACATCTCTTCCGTTGTGGCAGTATTGTAAGAGTTAGAGTAAGACCTGTGTATGTCATGGGGTGCAATGGGAGCATCAGATTCGGGGAAATTCGACTAAGTTGATCAGAAAATGTTATTGCGGTCCGGTGAGTAAAATGATGGAAGGTGTGAATTCAGCAAAGTTATGCAGTCATGTTTGGGTACAGCGTGTGGTGGTTGATACGGTGTTCGTATGTTGAAAACAGGCCTGACAGAGAATTCCGGATGTTGGAATTAGGCTCTAAGGCCTATCTGCTTGAATAAAAGGAAATATCTTCAAAATTGATCGAGCGAATGCGCTCAACTGAGTTGTGGTAACACGGGAAGGTGCATGAGGTGTTAAACAGTGATTTCAGACTACTTTAGTGTAGTTCTCAGCACGTTCGAGGACGAACGTATGTTTAAGTGGGAGAGAATGTAACAACCCGACCGGTCGTTTTGAGTTCTAGCGCTCCGTTCAGCAGCCCGAGGCCATGAACAGCTTCATTTCAGGTATTATTGACTTGTGCGCGTGGTCGGATTTGAATTTCGGGAAGTCCAGAGTTGATTTGGAAAGAGAATTCTCATTTCGGAAGCTTAAAGTTGAAAGAATGAACTAGGATTGGAATTTTGAGTAAAAGACATCGGAATCGGGATCTGAAGGTTCCAGCAGGTTCGTATGATGATTTCGGACTTGGGCATATGCCCGGTTCGGGTTTTGGATAACCCGGGAGCGTTTTGGCGCCTATTGTGGAAGTTAGCGTTTTGGAAGAAATTTCTTAAGTTTGGCTTGAAGTGCATTTCAGTGTTATCGATGTCCGTTTGGGATTCCGAGTCTGGGAATAGCTCATTATGGTGATTCTGGAGTTGGGAGCGTGATCGGAAGTGAATTCAGAGGTCCGTAGGTCAAAGTACCGCAGAAGCGGGACCGCATCTGCGGGTGGCAAGTCGCAGAAGCGAGAAAGGGGTGGCTCAGGGAAGACCGCAGATGCGGCATTTACCGCAGAAGCGGCCAAGGAACCGCAGGTGCGGAAACAGCTGAAGTAGTGAGGTCTTTTAAGTTCGGGGTTGAGTTCATTTCAACCCCATTTTTCTTCCATTGGAGTCGATGGGGAGCAGCTTTGAGGTGCCATTTTCGTCACTTGTCATGAGGTAAGTAATTTATGCTAGCTTGAAGTTAAATACAAGGTTTATATATGGATTTAGACTTGGAAAATTGTATAAATTTGAGGTTTTGGTGGAAAACCTAGAAAATTAGTAATCTTGGAATTTAGCCACGATTTTGAGTATGGAATTGAGAGAAAATTATATATTTGAGTTCCTAAGGTCATGGGTAATTTTTATCTTCGAAAAATTTCGGATTCCGGGCACGTGGGCCCGAGGACGTTTTGGTCAACTTTTCGATCGGAGTTAGGAATTGCTATAAATTAGTTTGTAATGAATATTTGAGCGTATATTAATGGATTTGCGTAACCGTTGGCTAGTTTTGAAGCATGGTGCATCAATTGGAGTCCCCGGAAGGGCGTGGATTGCCGGTTATGGATCTTCGGAGCGAGGTGAGTCTCCTTTCTAACTTTGTAAGAGGGAATTGTCCCCATAGGTCAAATAATTGATTATGTGCTCCTATTTGCGGGGACTACGTACGCACGAGGTGACGAGAGTCCGTGCGTAGCTACTATTATGCTATTGTCCGGGTAGTTAGGACCCACATCATGTTATACTTGGATTATTTATGAACCCATTGATAGCTTGAATTGCTTAAATCACCTTGGATTAGTAAATGAATTTTAAAAGAGATTAAACGTCATTTTCCTGAATTGTTAAGAAAAGAAATTGTTTTATTTGGATAAATATTCCCGATAAGTTCTTAATTGACTGATTGAGCATGTATCTCTATGTGTGCCTGCGTCGCACGCATGATTCGCGAGCAGGGTATGTGTTTATTTATAGAACGGGCCGAACGCCTCGGCAAATTAAATAGATGCATCTATAGGCGCGTCGTCGACCCTCGGCAAGTGCACAGTTTATTTCTGTTGGATCAAGCCATCGCCTCGGTGTGATTTGCGCATGTTATATTGTTGCCTGAGAACTTCAAATGTGAAATTTGTCCTTCGTGGCTTGATATAAATTGATAAGATAATAAAGAGTAAGCCTTGGAAATCCTTGATTATTTGTTGAAGGTGTTTATCTATTTTATGGCTTCGTGAATTAGAACTGCTATATAAATCCATGATTTTCTCACATTTTTAGTATACTGTCAGTTGAACTCTAGTAAGTGTCGAAGTTGACCATCTCGTCTCTACTTCTTCGAGATTAGGCGGGATACTCATTGAGTACACGTTGTTTACGTACTCATACTACACTTTTGTGTATTTTTGTTGCACAGGTATATTTATTTCTAGCAGCCCACTGGGCGTAGCAGCGCGGATGATTTGGGGCTATGTGATTGCATTATTCGAGGCGGCCCGCAGCTAGTATAGCCCTCTTCAGTACATTGTATTTATTTCCTGTCCATTGTATTCTGGACGGATGTTGTATTTTATTTCCTTATCAGTAGATGCTCATGCACTTGTGACACCGGGTTCTGGGATGGTTTGAATATTGTATTGACTGCTTATTATTTAAATTTGATTTGAGACAATTATCTTTTAAAATTGCTAAATGTGAAGGAAAATCATAGATTTCAGAAGTATTAAAACGGGAATTTGATTAAGTAACTTGGTGGGCTTGCCTGGCAGCAGTGTCCTGCGCCTTCACGATCCTTAGTGGATTTTGGGTCATGACAGTTTTGAGTGCTGAAAGTCTCACAGTGACAAATCTGCAAGCAACCAAAAGTAAACACAATAAGCAAAATCCAGGATACCCCATATTCCAATAAGTTAATATTCAAGTAATTTCCAAATTACAAATAGTTCACTATAAAATAAACCAAAAGTGCAAAATAATAAAGTATTCATTGGAATTATTATGTTCTTCTACTATGTAAAATCTCCAAAATAGTAATTGATTAAAGATATAGTATTTAGAAGCTCTAATGTATCATTGACGTCACACGCCTTCACTTCATTTGAGACAACATGTATTTTATCTAATCTTGGTATGGTTCAAAGATAATCACACCAGATAGTAAGGATTTGTTGTACGAAGAAATACTGCAATTAATATTGTGACACCGAAATACTTTAATCCTTTCAGCTAGATTACTAATGAAAACAAACTCATTAACAATGTCATATACATTACCAATATTATTGTACGAAGTAGGAGAAGACATTGGTGGATAAAAAGCACTTTTATCGTAACAGAGAAGAATAACTTCACACCTGTGAAGCAAAAAACGAAAACACATCAGTGAAGGATGTAACTTATAATAGACAGTAAAACCTCCTCCTTCAAGCTATGTATATGAAACACATCCCGATATTTTCAAGAAAACATACAGAAGAACAAGCAAGGAGACGGCGTACATGCATTGCAACAGGTAAAAACTTTTCCTTTGTATATTTATCCTGAAAAGAAAGTTTCAAATATTTTATATTCAGTGATTTTATACAATGTCAGAAGTAGTGCTAAAAGCACAGAGGGTAAGGGAAGTTTGTTGTCTTAATCGTATCCTTTTTAATTTATCAGATAGATTTGTGTACTCGATATAAAATGATCCGCGAAATTGTATAAGTGCACATATTTAGATATGTTAAAATATTATTTGATAGTTTGTTTATGGTTTGTATTGTAAGATGAACAGTTAACATGATGTTATACATTCATTGCTAATTAAATTATATTACCTAGTCGTTCGATAAACCATCCAAAGAGTCATTGAGTATATATCTTATATTAACATACAATAGATAACTTAGTTCAGAGGCCACATATCATCAAGAGAAACTAAAAAAGAAGAAACATGTTGCGCCTCTGTCATGGAGGTAGGAGGCAAGTGTCAAATTCGAATATCACAAGTACTAAATTTAGTCACTATTTAGATTTTATTTGACAACAAAGGTTTTCTGGTATCCAGAAGAAAGGAAAGGGAATTCTCTTTAATTGATCAAATTTATAGCAGGATGTTAAAGTTTTTCCGGACAAGCAGTGAAATAATGATTGTTTCAATCGATTCAAACATTGTAAATTTTTATTAAATGATGTCCGCTTTGTTGGTAAAAATTTTCCAAAAGAATAGTAGCTCAAGAAGGATCCAAATTGCAGAGCTATCTACATAATACATGAATTTCAAACCAAAGCTTTCAACTCAAAAACACCACTTAAGCTAATGAAACTTCATGCAATGTCAGGCAGAGAGTATTCGTGCGTCAAAATGTCCTAACTCAAAATGCAACCAAAGAATGAAACCAGAGAAAACAAAAGACAGGACAATGCATAAGAAATCTAATAGAAAACCTGATTGAAGAATTTTGTCAAACACCTAGAGAACAAAATTTATTAACATGTTTCACTTTGTCCGGAGGAATCCCCTCGCTATTCAAGGAAAAGCACAAATACCTAGCATATTATGAACGATTGAAACAAATCAATGCAAGAAACACAAGATGAGAAGAAAATTACCTAGTAGGAAATATCAATAGACAAAGGGGAGGAGTGAGAGAGAGCAGGGATATGAAGCAAAGAGCCGTTTGAAGAAGAGGGCTTTGCGGATGGAGCTTTTCACCAGTGTCGGATGTAGTAAGAGAAATCAAATGGTGAGTTGATAGTTGGGCTACACGTGTTGGGCTACAAATTCACACCATAAGATAATTTTGGGCCAGGCAGACATGTTGACCATGAGTTGCCTGGTTATCCCCATTTATAGTATAGGAATAGATGTTCATAATACTAGTACTTCCTCCGTTTCAATTTAGATGAGGTAGTCTAGTTCGACATGGAGTTTAAGAAAAAAGAAGGAAACTTTTAAAATTTGTGGTCTTAAAACCTGTGTGTCTTTGTGGGGCCCATGACATTTGTATGGTTATAAAGTGGGTAAAATGAAAAGTTAAAAATTAAATTATTTCCAATTATAAAAATATATTATTATTTTTGGAACGGACTGATAAAAAAAATGTGTCATCTGAACCGAAACAGAGAGTATTACTTTTCCTTAATTCCACAAGTACTAGAAAATTACTCCTATCAAAAGGACCAATATCCCCCAATATTATTAGCACAGCGTCAGCGCCCACATTATTATTATTATTATTATTATTATTATTATTATTATTATTAATTAACTCCTTGAACTTCCAATGTTGATGATAATAGCCCAACAGGAGGAAACAATAATATTGCTCCTTTTAAGGAACAACATGGGCATCCTCCTACAAAAATCCAGATGATTATGGTCGTATACAAAGTATTCTTCGCGCTCTTCAAATGGTGTGTTTGGGTATTCTGTTTCTATGTCTTGTGTGTTCATGTGATTAATTAACATGGATGGAATTGGTGTATCGCTTTCTGATTATATATGCGGCACCAAATTGTGTGGATAAAGATAGCTTTATATTTTTTGAAATTCTTCTCAGCAGTGAAGCGCAAATGGGATGTTTGGGCTCTATTTGGACTGATCGAGATAGGCTGACACATTAAATGGGTCAATACACAGCCCTGCCCAAAGTTCATTTGAATTAGAATGAGTTGGGTTAAGATGAACTAAATAATGGGTTGTAATCCAACCCGTCCAAATTGACCAAATCTTTGCAAAATTCTCAACTTTTAAACAAGCATAAAAAATATCTTATGTTTTGGAATAAATGTCAATTCATGCGAAATGATTTCTTTCCTCAATATGGATTTAAAATTTTATTTGATAGTTCTTCATCTTACAATACTAACACCAATTAGTTTTGGAAGGTTGAAAAAAAGTTTTGGAAAATATTTTCCCTTCTCTTAACGGGGAAAATATTTTTCTCTAGTTCGAGACAAACAAATTCATGAAGAAAATATTTTTCAAATAACCAACCAAACATTAAAAAATTTTAAAATATTTTCTAGCACATGGGCCTCTCTGCCCTTTTCGGGGTAGGGGTAAATTTTGCGTACACTCTACTCTCCCCAGACCCCACTAGTGGGATTTTACTGGGTATGTTATTGTATTTTCTAGCACATGGGTCTAGGTAGAGCTCTAAGATTGAGCATTTTCATGGGTCAGGTTGGACATCATCATGGGTCTAATTGGGCTAATAATTTTTCATGGGTTAACTTGGGCTAGCCCAAAACAACCCATTTTCCAAATCGTTATAGCCCAAACCCTTTAAAACTTGGACGGGTTAGGCGGCTCAAATGAGTTTGGATTAGTTTTGCCACTCCTAACCATATACATCTCAACTTTCGTATAGATAGAGTCAGCCTTAATCTTATAGGAAGAGCTGAATATCCTCGTACCAAGGCATTTACCTCTCCTCGATCGAATCTTGATTAATACTCGGGGTGTGGATTTTTGATGAATCTCTTTGTGATGAATAGAGATTTAATTTGTATTTCTTGACTTGGTACAAATATAAAGATAAATAATTTTTAATCCTCCGAAAAGATCAGACCATTATAAAAGACTAATTTTGAAAAAAAACCTTCATGAAGGGACGTAATCAATAAAAAACAACTGAACAAGCAATATTGAATAGTCTTTTTTGAACAAAATTCTCACTTCACTAAGATTTCCATTCCCTTCTTAGGGGGGGGGGGGGGGGTTAGAATCCCCGTTCATTTAAAATTAATTGAATACAATTCAATATTTTAAGAAATGATTAAAATTAAAAGTTCATTTTTATAATTTGATTCTGCAAAAGTTAAATTTTCATGCCAAATGTGACTTCTAATTTGTTGTGGTTTTCATCTGCAGTTTCCATTTCTTCACTTGTGACTGCGGATAGTGTTTGGAGAAGACATAGTATCTGCAGTATTTCCTATTCTCTCACCATCGTCGACAGATTTTCTGAATATCAAGTAATAATTAAACATGTAAATTAACACTGATGAAAAACTTTAGTCTAAAAGAGTCAAAAAATCGACCATATAAATTAATCAGAAGATTAGTCAAGAATGATAGAAAACGATAATTAAAAGATCAACAAATAGCCATTTTCAGTTTATGTACAACCTACCTATAATTGCAAAATATGTTCTTGAGGAAAAAATAGTTTACTATTATATAACTGAAAATTACTTATATCAACCACAAATAACTCTCGCCTCTATAGATTACCATACATTACATATTTCATCTACTTTTATGGTCGTCCAAACTGGAAAATTAATGATCTAGAGAACTAAAATAGTTTTGCAAAATATATTTTTTTACAAGAATTGATACATTTCATATGGGAAATGATTTTATGGTATTACCAAATAGACTTACATTTTTACAATCTTGGAGGCGGAACAAGTCGTAACATCCTTTTTTCCATCTCCTTTTTGATTGTCTCTCAATTTTCTCTTACAACCAGCATTCTTTTTGTTGGTTTTGATAGTTGAATCTTCTTTGATCGAGAAAATACTCATATTTGGGTTTTCTCCAATCGGGAGACTCCAATTATATTCATCTTCAACTGGTGATAGCCTATTAGTACACTGTAGAATACAAGGAAACTTGATGAGATAAATAATTAGTTTAACAATTTATTTATTTTGTGAAATTTCTTAGTTAAGAAAAAAGCAAATACAGCTTCACCAGAACCACTTCCCCCTGACTTCTTGCCACTCTCTTCTACATGTTCTTGTTCAACTCCACAGATAGCAGGCACATACAAACCAACAGTGAGTGAATGATCAACCACTCCTTTCCCATTTCCCCCTCTCTTCACCACATGCACCCTCTCTCTCTTTTTCTTTTGCTAGATTTCTTTTTACCACC